TCTTCCGACCGCGCTGGGCTGTCTGGCAGTCCCGGGTTGAGCCGCGAGGGGCAGGGGGAGGCTGAGGGAGGGCGGCCCGCGGGAGCGGGTGGGGGAGCAAAGGGAGGGCCCGTGCGCCGAGCTGGAACTTGCTGGACGAGCAGGGGGGTGTTCCCCGGGAACACGGCGGCCAAGAGTGGCAAGCCCTCTTCGCCCACCGAGCCCTGGGGCGGCGGGCTCTGGGGAAGACCCAGACCCACACACTGAGGGCATTCTGACCTCCAGATGCAGACGCGCTGGTAGCCGCGCTGGTTCTGGAATTGCAGCCCGGTGTAGGGTTCGAACTGGTGGGAGGCTTTGCTGGGTCCCGGTTGAACAATAGTGGGGCCCGCGCCGCCTTCCTCCGCCGCGCGCCGGCCCGCGGAGCTGCCTTCCTTCCACCTGGAGGGGCGCGCGGAGAGCGGAGGCCCGGCCGGCCGGCGGCCGGCCGCGCCAGCGCGCGGCTAATCTTAACTGTTGATTACATCTCCGGTGAAGACTCCCTCGTAGGCCCCTCATATGTCTCATTTGTAATTGAGACTAATGATTACAGTGGGGTGGGAAAGGAGCAGCTGCTCATTAATTAATTTCTAATTAAAAGTGCCTCCCCTCCTCGGTGACTAAGGAGAAACACGGTTCGTCGGGACGCTATTGACTCCGCGGATGAAATTCATTTGTTACAGCCGTGAGCCCTCCGCCCGGGGCGGCGCGGCCGAGCGACCCACGCGTCTGCCGCCCGGCCGGGCTGCGCGGACTGGGGCTGACGTCAGAGCCTCCGCCGCTTAAAGCTGCGCACCGCTGACTTGACGGATTCGCACGACTCATTGTTTTTTTTATTTTTTTCCTTTTTTGCAAAATATGTATTTGTGTCGCCGCTGCGAGGCCGGTCGGTCCCAGAGCCCCCTCGAGGCTCCAGATTGTGAAGCTAAAAGGATCGCCGCGGCCGTCGCGGCTCACTTTCCTACCCAGTTAGAAAAGTTTGCGGAGCGCGTGTCTGAATTAACCGGCTCTTCTGCTTTGCCCGCCCAGCGCCTAGAAGCCGGTGGCCCCGGAGCAGTGGCCGCTCCACGCCGTCCCCCTCGCGCAGGACCCCGCCGGCCCCGCCCGCCGACCCTGGGCCGCGCCCGCCATGTCCTACCCGCAGTTTGGGTACCCCTACTCCTCGGCACCCCAGGTAAGGGGGCCCCGCTAGGCCAGCAACTCGCTGTCGCCTCGCAGTGAGCAGGGTCTGTGCCACGTACCCCTCGCGCCCGACCCGGGGGAGGGCAGAGGCGCTGAGGAAATCCGACGGGCAGCGCCCCATATCCCGCTTCGTTTGTCCTCCACCCCATCCCGGGCTCTGAGGCTGCGCCCCCGGGGAGCCCAGCGACCCGGGATAGACGTGTGCAAGAGGGCGTGAGCCCTGCGGCCTTGGAAACCAACCCTCGCCCCCCGGGGAGGGTGTGAACATTCCGGGCCAGGTCGGGCTGGGCCCCATGTGGCTGGAGGAGGCCAGGAGCACAAGCTCGCCACGGGAAGGAACGCGCGGCCCGCTGTGGATGGCGGGAGCACCGAGGACACGGGGTGCGCGCTCCTGGGCTGCACGTGGGGCGGACTGAGGCCCAGGGCAGCAGCCTCGCGCCCGGGGGCCCCGCCCTTCCTCGTGGCTCCTTTCTCCACAGTTCCTGATGACCACCAACTCCCTGAGCACGTGCTGCGAATCCGGTGGCCGCACGCTGGCCGACTCCAGGCCGGCTGCCTCAGCCCAGGCGCCCGTCTACTGCCCGGTCTACGAGAGCCGGCTGCTGGCCACCGCGCGCCACGAGCTGAACTCAGCGGCGGCGCTTGGTGTCTATGGGGGCCCCTACGGCGGCTCGCAGGGCTACGGCAGCTACGTGACCTACGGTTCTGAGGCGTCTGCCTTTTACTCGCTGGTAAGGGGAGGGGGGGTTTGTCAAAGCTAATCCCTGCCACGCATGCCTCTACCCTTCGATCTGCCAAACTCACTTTCCCCGCACTCTGGAGGCAAGGGGGTGGGAGAAGCATACCTTCGACTTTGAGCCGCCTAGTCTGGCCCTTCGGAGCCCCATCATCCCAGGGTTGGGGTGTCCTGGCAGGTGGGCCATTGTATTTAATGTATTTATGGTTTTCTGCTTGCTATTAAGTTGGGGTCAGATGTCTGGTTCTGTCGGAGCTCGCTCCAGCCTGCTGGGTCCCCTGGGTCCCCTGTCCCTCACTCCTCCCGGTCGCCCTCTTCCTCCCTTCCCCTCACTTCTCTCGTCCCCTCCTGTCACCTCCCCGTCCCTCCTTCACCCTCCTCCTCTGCTGTCCCCCAGTCGCTCCCCCCTCATCTCTCCCC